CCGCCATCCATTGCGGCTAGTTGCCAAAATGATATGAGATAACGATTTTTCTTCTAGGAAAAGACATATTAACGGTGAAAACCGTTATTGACTGTTGCGAAAATCAACCAATAAGGTATCACAAAATTACTGGCGATTTTACTATATAAAAGCGATGTCCAGGATCTTGCAATTAAAACAGTATAGAAATCTTAGATACTGGGATATTCTAGAAGGTGGCCAATGTCTTCTCGCAATCTAAAAACGACCGGCTTTGTTCAACGAAAGCGTATATAAAAAGACATTTTGTCAAGTGCATCGAAATAATTTGTGCGAAGTAATTGTCTCCTTGGAAAACCATAATCAATTATTTCTAGAACATCAATATCATCTAATATCATTTCTTTTTCCAACTCTATTTTCCAAGTAGTTAACACACGAACCGACTAGAATTTGCTAGAACGAAAACAAAACCTCGTTTTAATCTATAACAAAACCCTCAATTTCAAAGGTTATGTTACGTATTTAAACTAGTTTAAGAATTTAATCCTCATAGGTTGGCGGATTAAAGTTAAACGCGTTTAAGGTCAAAACAGTCGACGGTGCATACCGTTTACGATTAAAGTCTGTCGGTGCATACGGGCATAAGAATAAGTTTTAAGGATGACTGGTGCAAATGGCCGTAAGTGTTGGTTTCGATATGTTGATAACACTTTTGTTGTTTGGGGCCATGTGAATGACTTAAGACTTCCTGACGCACCTCAACTCAATAAACCCAAAAATACAGTTTACTATGGAAGTGGAGTGGAAGTCATTTTTAGATGTACAGAAAACCGACACATACCGACCGCTACCTGCACAGTGGGTCAAGCCATCATCCCAGTCAAAAGAGAGGAGTCATTAAAACCTTCACCGAAAGAGCCAGAAGAATTTGCAAACCATCGGAGTTAGAAAGAGAATTGAAACACCTAGAAAGGGTCTTTGGTTGGAATGGATACAGCAAGAACGAGTTTAATAGAGCAATTTGACCAAGAATCAGTGGAGGTCGTCCGGAGAAAACATTGCCTTCCATACATAAATGGAGTCACCGACAGGATCGGCAGGATACTGGAGTCGAAACAGTGAAAACAGTTTTTAAACCAACTCGAACAATCCAACAGACTTTGAGATCGGCCAAGGACAAACGGGATCCTCTATCAGCACCAGGAGTCCACAGAGTTTCATGCAGTTTTGGCATATCATATCTCGCCAGCACAAAACGTAGTGTAAACACGAGGATCACTGAGCATAAAAGAAGTTGCAGATTAGGACATTAGGACGGAGCACGCACTTCTGGACAGCCACCAAATACGTTTCGATGAAGTAGACACTTTGCACCAATCTCACCGGTATTACCCGAGACTAACCAGAGACGCCATTGAGATCTTTAAACATGACAGCAATTTTAATAGGTAAGAAGAGATAACGGCCCTTAAGCCAGATTGAAAAAAGTTTTTGCGGCAAACAGTGAAACGTGTGCGTCTAAACATTTGATGTCCCGCCCACTCCCCACACATGAGCTTACACGGCCGGGCTGCATAAATACGACAGTGGATCCACTAGTTGAGCCAGTCTTATTTGGAAAGCACGGAAGATTACTTCGCCCGTTGCCTCATCGTCTTTGATAATGTCAACGTCAGGAAGAAATTCCTGACGTAAAAACTTTCATGTCTGCCGTAGAGCTCAGGCAATGATTTTTGCTTTGTTTTGTACTTGGGTGCGGTGGTGTGAGTTTTGAAGCAGTTTGAGAGCTGAATGTAGGCAGTGTTACTGAGTGGTCGGTTTTCAAAGGGTCTATTTGGTTACCGACCTATGCTATGACGTAGGATGTAATGCTGTGACCTTCTGTGTAACACACATATACTGCATCAGCCACTAAATCCTAAATTGACATAATTCCTCAGGAGTTGGTGTAAAAAAACTCGTTTCGATGGTTGGTTATAACGTGCAATGTATTTCGCATGTTAAGCAGACCTTTATCAATTTTTTTCACCTTTAAAATAAAATAGTAATCCATTAGAAGAAATAAAACAGTTCATCGAATATTTTTCCATGACAAAGAATGCGGAGCGGACAATGTTTAAGATCCTCACCGAAGACTTCAATGCTAAAATCGGAAGAAAAACAGAAGTAGGCTCTCGAAACACTGCCAACTTTAGACTTAGCACGGGTAATGACCGAGCGCAAACGATGCTGAACTGCTCAGAGAAGGGTTATAATGCATGAACACCTTCTATCAAAACCCTCGGTAACGGCAATGGACTTGGAAAAGCCCTGACGGTGTAGTAAAAAATGGGTTGGAACAGATAAAAAATCGTAAAGCTCCAGGAGACGACCAAGTAACGAGTGAGATGCTGCAGACTGGAGGAGAAACTCTGGACAAGGCACTTTTTTGATTCTCTTTAAGAAGTGCCTCAAAGAGGGAAGGATTCTAGTGGTATGGATAAATGCTGAGGTCACCATCCTTTTCTAGAAGGGCGACTCTAGAAACATCGAAGTATCGGCTGATTAGCCTCCTCTTGGTGTCATACAAGTTCCTTACCAAAATAATCACCTTTTTTTTCGTGAGGTTTGGGAAATGCTCTTTCATGCACTCCCAGAGCTGGTTTTCTGTCGCGCTGGGTTAATGGGTAAACTCCAGCTAAGCTGTTTACCCATTAAAACCCTTTCCTGACCACCGAGGTGGTGTTTGGCCTTGCACTGCGGTCATTTCTGTCCTATTGTGCCCTCGTAATTTGACTCCCTCATTATCCCTGTATATTCAATGAATTCCAGAAGAATTTTGAGGAGAGTTTGCATGTTCTGGTCTGGTGGAATTTCATCACTTCCCAGGAGTCTTCGTCTAACTGTTGCATACAACGTGCAGTGACACATAACATGCAGAGTAGTTTCGTCCTCTAATTTGCAAACCCTGCAGGTCGGGTTATCGCTAAGATCCAGGCGGGAGGGGTGTTTTTTACAGGGTTTGCGGTATGGAGTCGCGGTGTCTCCTCCCAGTACTTTCCGTGTTGTTCCAAGATCCACTGCCCAACTGCCACACTAACTAGGGCAGATCTACCTGTTGCATATGACGTGCAGTGACATATAACATGCAGAGTAGTTTCGTCCTCTAATTCGCAACCCCTGCAGGTCGGTTGATCACTCAGTC